AACCACTTTTAAATGATGTCTTTGGATGCCTGAACAGCAGGGAAGATTGTTATTCATTTGTAGCAAGAAGCTAAATCATTTCTGGGTTCCAATTAGAGAAAGCCTAGGGGCCCTCTTTATTAAGATGAAACACAAATTGTATCAAGACTTGCTAAACCACTTAATATTTTTATGGTGATATTGAGAAGCTTGAACATTTTAAAAACTAATTGGGAATATGTGTAGGCTATTTGTAATCTGTGCATAAACTCTAACCTCTATTTCATTAAATTTGCATCTTGTGGTGCTATTTTGCCACCTTGAAGATTTACCACAGAGACTAGGATCAAGAGTTCTTGAAGGATTCAGTGCAGTATCAGCAAAGACTTATGCAACTACATCCTCCTGTGAACCAATTTTGTAGATGCTGTTGTTGCTATTCCCTTTAAGGACATTTTTTTTGTTGTTGTTGTTGTTTTTGAAAAAAATTGTTTTGTTTTAAAATACAGATTGGCAACTTGAATACTTCATCTAGATCTTTAACTGCATTTCTATGTAAACAATTTAAAAAGACATATCTGAATTTAACTACATATTTACAGAGCCATTTGCTTTAAGATGTGACTAAAAGCTTACAAACACAACTAGGAAAAAGTCATAACACTTTAGATTTGGAGGATAATTTTGAGTGTATAGAAGTGTATATATACATACATACAATTTTCTCTGCATGAGCTTAAAAGTTCAAACATCAGGAAAAGATTGCCTCCTAAGATACTAAATTACTTCCTTTGAGTAGTATTATAAAGATGAATGTTCTAAACCCCAAAGTATCACCAGTATAACTGCTATTTTAATATGGGTCTTATGTAACTTTGTGGAAAGGACAAGATTTCTACATTGCTACAAATCAGTTTTATTTTATCATCTTTTGCTCCTTCAAGAGATGTTAAGGATGTACATAGTATAAGACAATCCACCCTGTTATAAAATAAGAATTGGTAAATTCAAATAGCAGTTAAAAGATTTAGGATAAATGAAGCAAGTTGAGAACTATTAATGATTTGGCTTTTATTAAGGATACTAGGGAAGTGATTTGTCTATCTAATTGAATAATACACATTACTATATTTTTCCAATATTTTATGCACCTAGTTTCTTCACTTGTTATCATATAATGCTCTTTCAGAATGTTCATGGATCTAGATCTGATAAAATTACCCTGCCTTTTTGTTTTTTATCTTTCCGAAGACAGGAAAAACCAAACTTTACTACTTTATACTTACACATTTACTACAACACTTTGTCTCTGACCACCAAAATGTATATTACCAACAATCAGTTTCCCCTCCCCCACCAATCAGTTTTTCATGAGACACCAATTGGGTGTCATGTAACTCAATTCATGTATAAGTTACACTGCAGATTGAGGTCTCAGTCCCACAGAATTGCCTCCCATTTCAGATGCCTCTCACGTGCACTAGGCTGTTACCTGTACTTCCGACCAGCTGCCTACAAACCCTGATTCCTGTGACTTCCTTCCTGGGTTTTGTTAATTTGGTAGGATAGCTCACAGAACTCAGGGGAACACTTTACTTATATTTATTCATTAATTATAAAGAATATTACAAAACCATAAAACCCTAGGAGAAAATCTAGGCAATAACATTCAGGACATAGGCATGGTCAAAGAGTTCATGATGAAAATGCCAAAGGCAATTGCAACAAAAGCCAAAATTGACAAATGGGATCTAATTAAATTAAAGAGCTTCTGCACAGCAAGATAAACTATCATCAGAGTGAACAGGAAACCTACAGAATGGGAGAAAATTTTTGCAATCTACCCATCTGACAAAAGTCTAATATTTAGATTCTACAAGGAACTTAAACCAATTTACAAGATAAGAAACAACAACTTCATCAAAGAGTGCGCAAAAGATATGAACAAGCACTTCTCAAAAGAGGACATTTATGCAGCCAACAAACATATGAAAAAAATTCAACATCACTGATCATTAGAGAAATGAAAATCAAAACCACAATGAGGTACCATCTCACATCAATCAGAATGGCGATTATAAAAAAGTCAAGAAACGATAGATGCTGGCAAGGCTGTGGAGAAATAGGAATGCTTTTACACTGTTGATGGGAATGTAAATTAGTTCAACCATTGTGGCAGGCAGTGTGGTGATTCCTCAAGGATCTAGAACGAGAAATACCATTTAACCCAACAATCCCATTACTGGATATATACTCAAAGGAATATAAATCATTCTAATATAAAGACACAAACTCCTCAATGATCTAGAACCAGAAATATCATTTAACTCAGCAATCCCAACAGCATATATAAATTGTTCTAATATAAAGACACATGCACACATATGTTTATTGCAGCACTATTTACAATAGCAAAGACTTGGAACCAACGCAAATGCCCATCAATGACAGACTGGATAACCAAAATGTGGCACATATACACCATGGAATACTATGCAGCCATAAAAAGGAATGAGATCATGTCCTTTGCAGGGATATGAATAAAGCTGGAAGCCATCATCCTTAGCAAACTAACACAAGAACAGAAAACCAAACACTTTATGTTCTCACCCATAAGTGGGAGTTGAACAATGAGAACACATGGACACAGGGAGGGGAACAACACAAACCAGAGCCTGTTGCAGGGTCGGGGGTGAGGGGAGGGAACCTAGATAATGGGTTGATGGGTGCAGGAAACCACCATGGTACAAGTATACCTATGTAACAAGCCTGCATGTTCTACACACGTTTTCTGGAACTTAAAAAAAAATCTAAATCTGTATATCTATCTATCTATCTATCTATCTATCTATCTATCTATCTTTCCCCTACAAAGTCAACTGATGAACAGAGAGATGAGGAGACGGATAGGGCAAGGTATGTGGGAAGAGGAGTGGAGTTTTCCATGCCCTCTCCTGGTGTGCCTCCATCTTGGACCTCCTGCATGCTCTGCAATACAGAAGCTCTCTAAATCCTGTCCTTTTGGGTTGTGTGGGGGCTTCATTAGGTAGGCATCATTGGTTGTATCATTGACCACTGATGATCATCTCAACCTTCAGTCACCTCAGCTCCTTGGAGGTTGAAAGGAAAATAGGACTGAAAGTTCCAACCCGTAATTACCCAGTAAGCTGCCTAGGAGCCCATCAGAAGCTTCTGATTAGAACGTCTCATAGGAACATCTCAGAGCAAAAGATTCTCCTATCAGGAAATTCCAAGAGACTTAGAAGCTCTGTGTCAGAGACTAGTATCACTCAGGAAATTACAGTCGTGCACCACATAACAACACTTTGATCAATGATGCACCACATACAGGATAGTGGTCCCAAAATATTATACCACTATATTTTTACTATACATTTTCCATGTCTATACCCTCAAAGACTTACCATTGTGTTACAACTTGTTCCAGTATTCAGAGCAGTAACATGATGTACAAGTTGATAGCGTAATCAACAGGCTATAGCATACAGCCTAGGTTTGTAGTAGGCTATGCCATCTAGGTTTGTGTAAATGTAGGGCTAAATAGAACAAAAATTTCTGCTATCACCCCTGTCTATCGGGCTTCAGGAGCACTATGTTAGGAGCTGGGGAGGAGACAAAATACATATTTCTTACATTACAAGATCACACTCTTCAAGTGTTTTCGGTACTTAAACACTTGATGATCAGTTCCTTTATCCCAATGACAATCTGCTTGTTTGGATATTCTTTACAATATTTGTTATTGTTTTTCACAACTTTTTTCCCTTCCACAAAATTTTGTTGGAATAGTATATATCCTTCCTCTTAGAAAGGATGCCATAGCCATAGACATCACTTACTCAATGCCTCTGTTCCAATTGTATTCACAATAACATAAAATAAATTCAATACTTCTATCAAATTTAACAAAGCTTTTGAGAAAATGATTCTATGTGATAAAATTATGCTTAAATTAGAAAACTTGTCATACTAAGTCTAGAAAAAAATTCATCACGTTAGAAAGCAGGAGGTAGTAGATGAAGCATCAACTATAGAGGAAGGCCAGGGTTTAAATACTTCTCTCATCTATATTCTTATATACAAGACATTTTAAAAAGTAACATTCATCAAAGTGTTCTTCTGAGAATTATAGAAAATAAATATAAAGCACCTAGGATAACAACTAGCAGATGGTAATAGATATTAACAACTATTTCTATCATTAATTATTACAGAAGACTGAAATTTTTGAAGAGGGGAATCTATGATTCATTTATTGTTTCTTTTCTAAAAGCATGTTTTGAGATAGGAATCCTTTGCAGGAATTTTGTTAAAAGAAAACTCACAGCAAAAACCTCTAAAAGAATGAGAAAAGCAGCAGAGGTGAAATGGAGAAGATTCAGGTGTTTTCAAGCAAAGCTGTGCCACAGGGGTGGCCCTAAGTGCAAAGATTTTTATCTTTTTTATATTTATTTTATATTTTATATTTATTTATATGTATGAATATAAATACTTATATATTATTATTATTTATTATAATATAAATATCACTTATTCATTATATATTTATATTCATATTTTAATATAAATATTTATGAAATATATATTTATATATAAATATAAATATTTATGTTTACTTATATCCAAATACATCTGAGGAAGATTTACCCCCAATAGCCTAAGGGCAGTCTTCCAGTGTGGGGTGTGAGCCATTAGCAGCAGAATCTAGGCCACAGGACTTGAACAGGGAAACAGAAGTGACTGCTACAGTGACTCAACAAATTAGTCTCTGAATACATATCTCCTTAATTAAATATGATTATATTATAGCAGATTATATTTGCTATACCTCCATCTCTTTTGAGTGAGTGTGTGATGGTATTTTTAGTATTTTATAGAAGTTAGCATATGGTTATGTACAAAATACATGTTAAATACTTAGAAATTGATTGATTTACTTAATTCACAGATATGTAACATTTCTTATTTTTGCTATCTACGTGCATGTTTCAATCCAATAGGCCAGAACCTGTTTTGTGGACAAAGGATGGCGGAGAATTACCAGATCCTGACCGAATGGTTGTGAGTGGTAGGGAGCTAAACATTCTTTTCCTGAACAAAACGGATAATGGTACATATCGATGTGAAGCCACAAACACGATTGGCCAAAGCAGCGCAGAGTATGTTCTCATTGTGCATGGTGAGTACCTTTTTGAAAACATTATATGGGAAAGGATGCATAACTTGAAAAACTGTTTAAATATATCAAAATTTTAAGCACAGTAAACAAAATTGCACAGTTTCTTTTTATTTCAGAAGGACATCTCATAAGTATCTCCAAGATTTAATATTAATATATTCCCAGTCAGATTGATAAAATTATAACATACATAAGTTTTTTTGTGAAAAGCTTTCTCAATTATAAATATACTTCTTATATATTGGTTCATAAACTATATTAATGATCGTCTTTATTTCATTTTTAATTATTTATTTGTTTATTTTTGAAGGCAGAGTCTTGCTCTGTTGCCCAGGCTGGAGTGCAGTGGCGTGATCTCAGCTCACTGCAACCTCCACCTCCTGGGTTCAAGCGATTCTCACGCTTCACCTTCCAAGTAGCTGGGATTACAGGTGTGCACCACTATATTTTTAGTAGAGATGGGCTTTTGCCATGTTCACCAGACTTTTCTTGAACTCCTGGCTTCAACCTATCAGCCTGCCTCGGCTTCCCAAAGTGCTGGAATTACAGGTGTGAGCCATCACACCTGGTCGATTGTCTTTAAATTCTATAAATAAATGCTTTCATTTATAATCCAGAATCAGGAAAATTACATATCCTTTAAGCTAATTTTTGTTATATTATCATAAACATATATTTTATAACTTCTGTAATTTGGTTTCACAAAGAATGACAGTGTGTCATTGAAATGCAGCAAAAATAGAAGTGTACAATATTAACAATAACTGCATGAATTTCATGTGAACAGTAATTTAAAGTTCTTACAGACTTTTCTTGACTATACTTATCGCACAATTTGAGTACATACAACAAAATCGCAAAAAGAAATACCAGTCCCCATGAGTGAATACAATTTGTGTTTTTTCCAACTTTCAAATGACACAATGGGTTTTTCATAAGGTAGCTTCTTTTAGATATTGGTAGATGGAGATGAATTTTTATGAGATTGATGAATATTGCAATAAATAAATTAGTCAAGTTTCTTTACTGCAGTACTTCTCAGACTTTATTGTATATGTCAGGGTGCATTGTGAATCTCCACTAGGAAGAGCCATTAGCCAATGTAAGATTTCCATCATATTTCACCAAGGAAACTTTCCTGGGATTAGTATTATATTCAACATAATATTACAGTATACTAAATGAGTATTGTATATAACACAGCACTGTCACAAATCCTGGATCTTAGAAACGATGGACAAAATATGTTTATTTGACATCTTTCCGTCGAATCCATTTATGGAATACTGAAAGAAGTATGTGTTTGTTCCATACCTTTCCAAAAAGAATTTTGGGGGTCTAGTCTATTTCTTTGTAAAGAGATTAATTTTAGGGAAAAAATAATTAAATGCGTATTATTTTTCATAGATGTTCATTTTGTTCATTTTGCCAAAGTTGGAAAAAATTGATATTTTCAGTCAATATACAGTTTTCCTATTTTCAAATTGTATTATCGTATAAGATCTCTCAGTACTTAATACCACTCTGCTATGGTAAGCAACGAGAGGCTCACAGTGAATAGGCTATTCGTGTAAAACATCCAGAAAATAGTGGAACTAACAGTTTAATTTCTAGCACTTCATGAATTGTACAAAGTTCAACTTTGGAAAAATTAGCCTAATCCAATTAGACTGGTAAATTGGATTTAAATGTGGTAATCCCTGTAGACAAACCCTGCTGGTCTTTCTGCCAGAGAGAATGTTACAACCACTGGGTGTATCAGGAAAGTAAGTCAGATCCTTAGAGCAGGATCCAAGAGTAGATTTCAGTTGATGCTCCCTGGATGTTTAGATCATGCAGTCATATAGGGAAAGTGTAGTCTATATGATTCACCTTAATTTTCCAAGTACTTCTCTCACCTAACAGTTTCTGAGAACCTGGGGACGTGTTGTAGACCATGTCACATTGTGTCAAAATCTATATGACATAAAATATTGAGAATTAGAAGAGAAGTGACAGAAAAAATAATATACCAAAATGAAAAGTATATCATTTTTTTAAAGTAGTTCAAGTCAGGAAAATTCATATATCTTCTCAGTGTTTGCAAGCTAGCCAACAGCATGATTTCCTAAACAGCCAAGCTACCTTCAGGTAGTTGGCAGTTGACATATTTCTAATAAATACTTCCCTAAGCACTTTGTGAGAAGTCATTTTTGGCTTTGCTTTTTGAACTACAATTCATCAAAAGCACCCCATAGATTAATGCTATTCATGCTGCTAGATAAATGCTGTGAAGTTCAACAGTGGTTTACCTAGGATTATTGACACAAGTAATGAGAGGCTCAATGAAACAGTGAAACCATATTATGCTGTGTTTAAAAGGGGCACCAGTTGGGTTCATTGCAAAATAAAGGTTTTTTCCCCTTTGCACACTGGGTATAATGTTTCATTAGTCACTAGTTGTATAAATATAAAAAGCTACTCTCTTCGGTTAATGGTTTGGCTGTTTCAAAACCATACTAAATGATGAAATCTGAGTGGCATTTCGATCTATAATGAATACTGTATGCATTTTGGAATGGAGCGATAAGTGATCATTTGTGAGAACTTTACCCTTTTATCTTTTATACCAAGGTTGATTTTACATTAGTGGTGATAATTGAATACAGCTCTAGTACAGAGGGTTTTTCATGAGCTGCGACCTGTGTCTTTGACTCCACCACAATTGCCTAGATGCTATTGATTCTTAACTTGATGGAGGTCTGAGCACTTTCCTGTGAAATCATCTACTATCTGGATGCCATCATAATAGTTAGATTTTATTGTTTGGGTGTCAATGGAAGTGCATGATTTAAACGCTACCACATTTAATTGTTAAAACCACTGACATTTTGTGTTAGAGACACTGGTGATTCCCCCACTCCCTCCTAATTACACCTTTAAAGGTTTCAGCATTAGGACCACATGTAGTAATTTAAAACTGCCAGTCTAAAATTTATCCTCAATGAAAGGCCTAACCAGAGTCACCACACTAATACCTGTAAGATTAAACATCATGCTTATGAAACATTTGCACTGTGGAGGTTCCATTAAGAAAGAAAGTAGCACATTTTATAAACAAGCTTGGCAATGGAAAAATTTATCTGTTAAATTAGCCACCAAAATTATACTAATTAATTCCTCTAAGCACGGTAGTTTCGATTTGCTTCTTTATAAAAATATTGAAGTATATCTCTTGTGATTATTGTTGTCATACTATTTATTTATTTACAATGGATGATTATATGCATAGTTTTAATGGCTTTGAATATCTTGACCCATTGCTATTCTTAACATTTGAAGAACTAGGATCGAGAGAAAAATGAATTCACTCACTCAATAGATATTTAGTACTTATCTACCTGGTGCAAAGGAGCAAATGTAAATAACAAACACGAAGATTATAGTTTAATGTGGAAGATAAGCTAAGCATTTAGGTAATTGTAACACAAAATAGAAGAGTTATAGGGAGCTATAGGAAGATGGTCATACAATGTGGTAGATGTTCACAATCTGTGTAGTTCCAACCGTATGGAATGTTTAAAACTAGTAACATATCACCATTATTTATACATATTATAAATATAATTATAATAAATATTTAAAGTAATAGAAATATTATGATAAATATTATTATAAATTAATAAATTCATTTGTAATACGACATACATTGTAAATAGAATTACTCAGCAAAGTGCCAGCTATACAGATATATGATAAATTAGACCATTCTTCTTATTGTATTTCTAGTAGTCTTATTATACCAAGGGCAATCAAACTCCAAGGCTCTGGTAAGAAACTTGCCCATGAGTTGCATACAGTTATTGCTCATAATCTTCCCTGAAAGCTACCCAGAACATAAATTAGGTTAATGCTATTGAAAAATGAGAAAATTCTAAATTTTCATATGAGATAGAAAATGTCTTAAAACTCAACAATATAACAAATTGACCATGTACAAAGCAAGACATAAGTTATAGTCACCCTTGTTCTCTGATGCAACATTAAGTTCAGAGAATATAGGCTGAGTATCTCATCTTCAAGCAGAAACTAGCCGGATCTGCATCCATTCGCTGTAGAGAACACAGCAGATGATACCATTTTATCATGCAAGGAATGGATATAGGGAATGACCAATGGTACTATACTAATTCTATTTTGTGATTGGAAGCAATGCATGTTCTTCTATTTATCATCAATTGATTAAAAATACACTCATAAAAGTGTCAGAAATGTACAGCACCGGGGAAGCTTTGAGAAAGAACATCTATGGAAAGTGAGAAACGTGAATTACCACATACTCCAAACCCTAAACTTCTTCCCTCTTAACTTTCCCAATGTCTCTTTTACCTCTCTTTAAACTCATCAGAGAAATTAATAACCACTCCTCAAAATACAAATGGGAAATGGACAGAGATGCTGCAACTCTTTAATGTCACCTCCATGCTCAAAACCGTCCCGAGAATCTGGGAAGAAGTACAGTAATACCAGCAGAAAAATTAGTAACTAATTTCTCCTTCTACCAATAGCTATACTATCAATAGCAGGTTCAGATTGTAGACAAGGATAGCAAGGATAATGATTAGAGCTTTGGAGGAGAAATCATGTTATCTCACAGTTATAGCAGAGTTGAGACGCACTATTCAAAAAATTTTTTGTAATATTCCCCCTTCCTTTCCAAATTTACTCTTCCTTTTACCATAGTAACCCTACATGAGTGTTAGAATTATTTTACCACTGTGCTAACTTATTCCCTTACTTCATTATTTTCTCCTTGTACAAATAAGTTTTATAACAATTCATCACTCCTTTATTATCTTAACTCTTGCTATCATTTAGAATGAAATTGCCCACTATGCACCTTTCCACAGATTTTGTTTTCTTTACATGTATGTATTTTGCGTTTCTAGCAAATTTTATCTTTACAACCATGTAAGATAAGTTAAATCTCTATAATTAGTATTATGATACTATATAGTAAA